CTACAAAACTATACTACTTTTAATGCTCTAATCTTAACCTAGTTCGTTAAAAAGCTTTTCGCGTAGGAGTTAATATAGATAGTAATAGTCTTCTACTAGAAGCGGAACTTACTAGTATTTTAGCTATTAAAGTTTAGCGGTTTATTCTAATACGAAGAATTAACCTATTTAATTAGTTTAAACTAATTAATAAGCTAGGCTAATAAATTTAGCTATAGTAGCGATTTATCCTATAATCTTAAGAGTGTTCTTAGATTATTTAAAGGTTCTAATAAGCGGTAGTTATTCTATCTATTATTATTACTATTAAACGAGTTAAGGTTACTAGGGTTAAAACGAGTGTTACGAGTAGATAGCTAGGAAAATTATAACTACTAGTAAGTCTAGTAAGAGGTACGTATATATACTAAGCGAATAGCTTTCTTAAATAAGAGTTATAGGGTTTATAGTTTCTAGGTTTTAATACTACGTATAATTAATAGTTATATAGGTAATATAATAAAGAATTATATAGCTTATATAAATACTACTCTTTTCCCGATTTTTTAAAGAGTTCTATTAACGTTTACTTGTTTTTTATCGTTTATTTTTTTTATTACCTTATTAATAATAGTTTCTATTAGGTCTTAAATACTTTATAGCTATACCTAGCTATAAGCGTTTAATTAGTTTAAGCTAATATACTTTTAGGCTAAAAGTCCTTTAATAGTACCGTTTATAGCTATTACTTACGCTTATATTTAATTCTAGGTATATTTAAGTTTATAATAAAGAGCTTAAATTTAATGAGTACTTTAAGCTTATATATCTTAAAGGTAAAAGAAGGTATTATTACGCTTTTTCTTATTTTAAGTAAATTAAGTAATCTAGTAATAAATGTTACCAGTAAATTTATTCGTAGCGTTTTTAAGCGTATACTAGAAACGTATAAGCTTACTCTTACTAGGTATAAGGCCTTATTAAGCGAGTTTAATAACTTCTTAATATTTATTATAAATCTCTTAATACTTACGTTAAATATCCTAGAGATTCTAGCGATTTAATACCTTAATATTTAAGGCTTAGAAGTAAACTATCTTATAGGCTTAAATTAATTATTTATAAAGGTTAATAACGTTTTTATACGTTATTAGTAAGTAATTAATTAATTAATTTAAAGCTTTCCGTTAATTTAAGAGCGTCTCTTATTACCACGTTAAAGCTTAGTAGGTTATAAATAACTAATTATCTTAATTTAGCGAAAATTATAGCTGCTTAAAGAACGAGCTTAAATTATAGAAGGTTAAGTTTTACCTAAAAGAGAGTAAGGTTCTTTAATTACTTTTCTTTATTTAGTTTTCTTAGTTTAAAAGCTAGGGTAATTATTATTACTAGTACTAATATAACCTTTTAAGTAGGTTAGGTAATAATAGAAGGTATAGGCTTTTTTACTTTTACGCTTTATATTATAGCTAAGACTAATATTAAGGTAACTTATAATATAAGACTTAAAGTTTTTTATAATACTTTAAGCTTAACTTTAATTAACTTAAAGGGTATAAGGTAATATTCCCTTTACTTTAAGTTTTTCTTATTATTACTAGTAATAAAGCTAAGTTCTTAGTTATTAATAAGGGTATTAATAAGAAAGGCTTTTAATAAATAATTAAAGAAGTAATAAGACCCTTAACTAAACACTAATAAGTTCTTACTTAACTAAAACCTTTAAGTTATATAAGGTAAGATATAAAGAGCTATTATAATACTTTAAGAGGGTAATAGAAAGTCTTCTTTCTTATTATTATCTTTCTTCTTCTTATTATTTTAATTAAAAGTAACGTTCTTATTTAAGAATTCTTTCTTACTTAAAGTCTCTTTCTTCTTTAAGGGTTCTTCTTAGTATTATTAAGAGAGCTCTTATAAAGCTTTATTTATAGGGTTAAGTAATAGTAGTATAAGAAAGTTAAAGTGTTATAGGGTAGGTTATATAATTAAAGAAAGGGGTCTTCTTTAAGGGTATTAGATTATTTATAATAAGAGCTTAATTATAAGGGCTTAGAGTAAGAGCTTAATTTAAAGATAATCTAGTATAGTATTAAAGGTTCTTAGTTTTCTAAGGGAAATAAAGAGCGCGGTAATTATTATATATACATGAAAGAAACAGAGATGCTAGGGGCGGTGAGTGCGCCGTGTGTTCAGTTTAGGTAAGCCTGCAGGTCCCACATTGGCGTTGGGCTTTGTTGAGTCCCAACCGTGTAACACTTGGCGACAAACTTTGCTGTTGCATGAAATACGAAAAGACAGACTGACATCATTCCTGCAGCGCAATGCATCATGGTGAAAAGCCAAAGAGATATGCCAAGTAAATCCGCTGCCGCAGAGAGATGTGGAGTGATGAGCAGCGGGAGAAGGTTCACTATGGCAAGATATCCGGCTTGAGACGCAGCTTCGTTAACTAAAGAAACCGCAACGAGCCTAAGCCCTGAGGGTTTATGCTGCCAAGTGAAGCATAGACAGACCACATTGGCTCCGATATACAAGAAATGAGAAAAGATTCCCCATATACTCCATGGTCTAACCAGGGAGTGTCGCTTTACTGGGTTTCGATAGCAGGAGTTTCTTATAATTGCTAGCCATGTGGTGATTTTTTCCAGTGGCAGCATGGAACTAGCCAATGTTATAAGGAGGATTGCCACAAGAAATATAGCATATATCTGGTATAGTTCCAGAAACTCCATTTCAAGTTAAATGCGGAACGTTAACGTCAAACTCGGGCAGCCTTTCGTGCTTTTATAGTAGTCAACATCTCTCCGCTCAGCCGAATTTAGCCCTTAAGTCCGGCCAATGGCCTTACAGAGAAGGGTTAGGGGCTTGATTGACAGATCACCTCGAGCCAGATTGCATCTACCTGGGCCTGGCCGAAGAAGATTCGCGAAAGGTAAGGTCGACCGACGGGAAGATACAAAACAATTATTGTACAGTTCACACCAGATGCATTTGAATTACTACAAATATTGATCGTTCAAACCAAAGAAAGGGTCTAAACCAACAGCCTCCCTTGCATTCGACAGATGAAATTAAGCGGGAATGAAACCTTGTTTTGACTAACTCTGTTTCAAATTACTGGCAATCATCCTAAAATTCCCAGTCCTGTTCTCATTGGCAAGGGCGAAAAGCGCAGTTAGTGACTCTTTTGTCCATTGACTGTTCAAAATTCCCTCCTGCCATTTGTAAGCTGGATTCTCGAAACAGGAATACGTACACTTACCTGACGGAGTTTGACCGCAGAAGTAGATGATGCCGCATGTTCGACAAAATTATGAAAGTTTTTCCAACGGTCCTCGTCCTTAATATCTGGACCGTCATCCTTCTGCATCAGCCTCAAAGTGATTTTATGTAGTGGTTTTATGTACTGCTCTAGCGTCTGTCGAGCTAATATCCAATGTTAAAGTCTGGAAAAGTTCTTGATTCCCTGACATGTATATTAGCCAAACAGTACACTGCTATGTAAAAGAGCAAAGAGATACCGAGTTTTACTTGGCCTTGAAGGTTTGCGTAGACATTGTGACAATCAAGGCTACCGTGCCCAAGATTGTGTTTCTCGAGAAACCTTAGTCCATCCAACATCTTACAACTTGTCAGCTTGGAATCACCCGTGAGTCAGTCGATTTTCGGCATACTTGTGCCAATATAGCGACCAGTTCAGATTGTGATGGGTAAATCATGCACTGGACCACGTTGTATAGGCATAAGGGCATCTCCTCAAGGATAATATGGTGCAGACCCGAAACAATACATACATCCAAAACCTCAACAATATTGGTTTCGGTACTGGAATCCTGGCCAATAGCGAAGCAAGCCAAAGTTTCTTTGTTCAAATCTAGCTTCCGAACATGGACACGACGGTTGTGGCCGGAAACGGCCAAGCAAGTGTTGCTGTGGGGAAGGTAGCACACTTCCTTGTATTTGCTCCATGCTTCACTGTCAACTCGACCTCTAACTGCTACCGCGTTACCCGCATCAGATTTCACGAAGCCGGATCCTGTAGATTTTAGCTGGCCTTGGCTACCGACTGTACTCAGGTCTGTTGCCAACGGCGCATTTGTCGGGTCTCTCGACTTAACCAATCCATTTTATAGGGAGGGATTGATGGTGGAGCCAATTTGCGTGTATCGACGGCTGTCCGTTCCATAGTTATTTCTATTGGCTGCCCTTGACATTATGATGATTGCTTTGAGATCCCAACAGCGGCAGAGAAATTGAAGGCATATGCAATACTAACTTACCAATCCCTAAGGGACCCTGCTGGTCTTTTTAAACTGGAATAGCAACCATAGCCCCGTCTTTGCCAAGCACTTTCCGTCCTTTGGCCACATCCGCAGGCAGGTACATCAATGGAGCAAATTATGGCTCTTTTGCTACGGTATTTATGCGCAGATTACAAATTCAGATCTCTTCAGATTTTTATAGCAAACTACGAAATGCCACGGGAAGCTAAATACGACCAGTTGACAAGACTCACTGGCACATCCGCCAAAAAGACATCGAGTTCTACTGGGCCGGTCGCCAGGCATACCTAAATAAAAACTTCGAGGAGCAAAGCCGATGCTTTGATATGATTTCGGGACGCGGCCGGGAAAATGCTGACGAGCTTCTTGAACACAGTGACATTGCCAAGGCATTAGACAGCATCTTGGTAATACCAGGTCTACGCGCAGGATTTTGGCTAAAGATGATGCATAACGTGATTTACACTAGGTGTAACGAGGTATTTACATCATATCACTGGCATTTGTTCCTGAATCTCACAACTCCATAGCAAATACTTCTCTACCTAAGTTTTGTTAAGGAAACGTGGGATTACATTGCCGGCTCTGCGTCTGTTGACAGTAAGACAGTGCAGGCATTGGAGAAGAAGTGTCCCAGATACTCAAAGAACGATGAACAGCAGATAGAGAGATTGATTGATGATGGTCTGATATTCGAGGACGTTGAAGTCTCCGGGAGACCCGACTTGAAAAGACGATTGGCGCAACTACAAGTCGTAATTCCATCGCTTGATACGTTCTTCGATGACTGGAAAATCTTGAAGGATTGCTCTCTTTCCTTAAGCAACCTTGTACGCAGAAAGAGGGGGGAAGTCATATACTTCAGCATTCAGAAGGTTATATTGCGGAGATGAGGCTTGTTTTCAAGAGAAGCTCTCCGATATGTGGGTAATTGCCCTACGATGTATCAACGCTAAAGGCCCTTTTAATGGAAAATGGCTGTTATTTATCGGGGACCCTAATAAGCCCCAAAACGCCTTAAATAGCTGCTTTCTAATTATACGAAAAGCCTTAAAAGAAGGCTCGCGCTATTATCGTATTAAAGCTAAACCTTTAATAGCTAGATATTATAAAACCCCTTAAATTAATTACTTTCTAGGTAACCTATTAAATAACCTTAATATCTATAAATAAGGGTTTATTTTTTATACTTAAATAGCTTTAATTAAGAATAATTCCATTATTTAAATTACTTTTATAGCTATTAATATAATAATTATAAGCCTAATTTACCATTAAATTTAAGATATTTTAACGTTAAATTATAATATATTTAAGGTCTTTAAAGACTTAATTAACCTAGCTATAAATATTAAAGGTTCTTTATTAGTAACCTTAATAGGTTTAGAAAGCTAATTTTAATAGATTTTTATCGTTAAAAAGTACGCTATTAATTAGGGTATTTAGCATTTAATTAACCCTTAATAGCCTAATAAGATAACTATTATCCCTTTTAAAAAACCTTAACCTAGTAATATTAACTTTAAGGCTATAATAATTATAGACTTTAATAACGTAAACCTTAATAAGGTTTAATTTAAGAGGCTTAAATTCCTTATAAATAACTATTAGGTTAATATTTAAGCCTACTAAAAGTATTAAAAAGCTTTTTTAATTACTTAGTAATTTATTATAAAGACTATTAGTAGTTATTATAGTATAATAGCTATTAAAAATAGCGTTTTAAGATAATTAAAGCTACTATAAGCCTAGCTATAGCTTATATTATAGGAATATAAAAGGTACGAAAATTAAAGCTTAGATTATAAGCTAGTAAAAGGTATTAGTAGAAGCTTATTAAATTAACCTATCTAATACGAAAGGGCTTTAATTAACCCTAGATTTTATAGCTATAATAGCCTTTATTAGCCTTACATTTTTAAGCTATTAGAATAATTATATATTAAACCTCTTAAACCTTAATAAGAAAGGTTAAACAAATAAGATTCTAAACGGCTTTTAAATTAGTAATCTATATAAATAATATTATTAGCGTTAAAAGGCTATAAAAGGTAAAAGCGGTTTTTTATTCTTTACCTTTTAAGAAAGCCTATTATTATTAAAGACCTTAAATACATTATAGGTACCTAGCTAACCTAAAAAAAGGTTAAAGATAACTCTAAGATGCCTTTATAGTTAGAAATACTATTAATATAAGTGTTTATACTTAAACGAGCCTCTTAGAGATTTAATATAAAAGCTTAACGCTAAAATTAAAGCTTAAATTTAATAGAAGCTATTAGACCTATCTATTAAAGCGAAAGTTAATTAAGCTTATTAATAGGCTTTTAATTAAATTAATTAAAAGAAGTAAGAAAACCTAAAAATAAAAGGTATTACATTTTTAGGCTAACTTTAATAATAATAATAAGGTATTCTTTAAGATAAAAGCTCTTATTAATAAGGTTCTTTATAAGATAAAGGCCTTTTATAAGCGCTAGAGTAATTTAAGCCTTAATAGTATTAAATTAAAGAAGCTTATAAACGCTTTTTATAAGTATTAAAAGCCTAAAAAATCAATAAATAATAAAGCTTATAAAGGCCTAAATATTAAAGGGCTTAAAAGGTTAAAAAATAAGAGTAGCTTAAAGAGCTTAAACACGTAAAAAACGTAGAAAACGCTAAAAACGCTTAAATTAATAAAAAAGGCTATAACTAACGAAAGTATAGGTTAAATTACGTAAAGTAAGTAATCGCCTTATTTATCTAGTTAATTTATGAGAATATTTACCCTTTAAGGGACTCTTTTATCTTAGATTTTAGGTTAAACATATATATTTATAATAACCTTAATTAATTTACCAACTATTCAGTTCTTTAGTAGCTTAAAGAAGCTTTTATAAGCGATATAAAGCTTTAAATTAAAGGCTATAAAAAGGTCTCTTTATAAATATAAATAAGGCTCTTTTAGCTAAAGTAAGTAGCTTTTATTCTAATCTTTTATATAAATATAGCCTTACTAGATAGCTTTCTAGAAAAGAGCTATAATTAAAACCTAATTATAAGAGTTATATTAAAGGATAATAAGGTTATCTTTTATATAAGGCGTTACTTTAAGTAGCCTATTATTAAATTTAATGAAATTTATTAAATTAAAAGCTTTTAATTTAAT